TTTTTTTTTTAATGCTTTTGAGTTTTGTTCCACATTGTTCTCCCAGTCTATCCAGGATCTCCTACACAGATGCCCCTCTGAGTGGTTGACAGTGGTAGCTGGGCACCATCTAGGTCTGTTCTCATAGTCATATAGGAAGCCAGTGCCTTCTGAGGATGTGGCATAGGGTGCCAGCACAGTCACTGAAGGGGACTCACCGTGACCAGAGGTTATCTCACCCAATCCTCCTTTTTCACAGTTGGGAAAATGGAGGCCCGGGGGGAGGGAGTGACTTGTCCACAGTGACGCAGGAAGGGAATGGTAGAACTGAATTTAAAAGGCAAGCCTCGAGCCCGAGATTCTCCACGGGCTCCACTTCTTCCTCTCCTTGCCTCTCTGGACCTGGCTGTGCCCACTGGAGCTCTATTTTGATAAACATTTCTGCATATTAGCTTGGGAGACTGCAATGAAGCCTTTTTAGAGGACATATCACTGCCCAATAAATTCTCTCGGTTCTTTGCTACACATGGCTGGCCTCTCACTGACTACTCTAGCTGTCTGCGATTACTCTGAACCTACAGTACAACGGCACTGTGCTGTTGTTAGGTGTGGCCGAGTCGGTTCTGACTCAGTGGCCCCATGTACAGCTGAACAAAACGCTGCCCGCTCCTATGGCACCCTCACAGTCACTGCTATTTTTGAGGCCACTGTTGAAGTCACTGTGTCAGTCCATCTCACTGAGGGTCTGCCTCTTGTTCTCTGACCCTCTAACTTTACTGAGCATGATGTCTGTCTCCAGGGACGGACCCCTCCTATTAACATGTACAAAGTGTGTGAGTCAAAGTCTCACCATCTCCTTTCTAAGGAGCATTCTGGCTGCGTATCTTTCAAGATATATTTGTCCGTTTTTCTGGTAGCCCATGATATGTTCGATATTCTTTGCCAGCACCATAGTCAAAGGTATCAATTCTTCTTTAGTCTTCCTTATTCATTGTCCACCTTTTGCATGCATATGAGGTGACTGAAAACACCACTGTTTGGATCAGGGGCACCTCAGTCCCCTAAGTGACATCTTTGCTTTTTAACGCTTTAAAGAGGTCTTTGGCAGCACATGTGCCCAATGCAGCATGTTGTTTGATTTCCCGACTGTTACTTCCATAGGTGTTGATTGCAGATCTAAGTAAAATGAAATCCTTGACAACTTCAATCTTTTCTCCATTTATCACGATGTTGCTCATTGGTCCAGTTGTGAGGATTTGCGTTTTCTTCATGTTGAGGTGTAATGCGCACTGCAGGATCTTTATCAGTGATCGCTTTAAGTCTCTTCACTTTCAGCAAGCAAGGTGGTGTCCTCTGCATATCGCAGGTTGTTAATAAGTCTTCCTCCAATTCTGATGCTGCATTCTTCTTCATGTGGTCCAATTTCTTGGAGTATTTGCTCAGCATACAGACTGAGTAAGTACAGTCAAAGGATACAACCCTGATGCACACTTTTCCTGATCTTAAACTATGTAGAATCCCTTCGTTTGCCCCAGTCTCTCTTACAGATTCTGCATAAGCACAATTAAGTGTTCTGGAATTCCCATTCTTTGCAATGCTATCCATAATTTGTTATGATCCACCCAACTGAATGCCTTTGCATAATCAATAAAACAAGGTAAACATCTTTCTAGTATTCAGTCAAGATCTGACATCAGTAATGATATCCCTTGTTCCATAGCCTCTTCTGAATTTGGCTT